ACATTTGGAAAAAAAAAATTTTTTGTATTCTAAATGCGCACACTTTAAAAGCTGAAATAATGACAACATTAATGTTTTATTTTAACTAATTTAATTATTTTAATAAAGTAAAACCCTACATAAGATTAAATTTACAAAATTTTTGCAAATAACCGATCAATGGTTGCTTGAGTTTCAGTATTTAAAATTAACTTTTCAACATCATTTGAGAGTTTATAGAAGTTTTTATAGTTTTCGATATTTCCTCCTCTTTGTTCTAAAGCTTGCCGCACTACATTAAGTGCTTTTCTGACTTCCATTGAAGATGGCACTGATGAGTTCATTTCATCTTCTGAGTCTGATTCCTCCATTTCTTGATTGAAAATAACTTTGTAATTTTTGATGTTTGTAACAATTTCAAAATCAGATTTTTCTCCTGATGTTTGCAGTTTATCGTCAATAGCTACGGAACATGCGCACAGTTTTTGGAAATCCATTCATGTTCTCTGTTAAGATAGATAACAAAAGAAACTTCTCTCCCTTCTATGGTTCATTCAATAAAAAGTAAGATAAGAATTCGACCCCCTGTTGAGTGAGATAGGTTTCTCCAAACTTCATTCAAGTCAAGGAATTAACATTGATACTCGCCGCTTACCACCCACATTTTTCCTTAACTCTTACACTATGAATATCGCAGGAAAATGCTAGCCACGCCAGCTTCACAGGCTTGTGAGTAACTGTTGCTTCCTCAAAAAAATCTTTAAACTTCGAAAAAATAAAATTTTATTAATAAGAACAAAAGAAGATGAAATATTGCACGTTTGATTTATTATGTAGTCAAAATTTTGATTTTAAAAAACGGCGGCATTGATTTTATTAAAGGATGCTTTTAACATGCATTAATATTGTAACGATTTGGTTCTTGCCGATTTGATTTTATAAAGCGGCTGATTTTATTATCCAGTGATTTTATTAGCGGCAGGCACTATAATATGAAATTGAACAAGACTTAACAAAACCAAAGAGGAGAGAAAATAAATATAGTAAAATTATTTAATACAGTTGACAGATTCAAGTTCGTTTAAGGACAAAATTATTTCTATTATACAACTAAAAACCTAAAAAAACAAAAATTATTGGACAATTTATTACAGTAGAGTTTTCAGCATCGTGCAGGACAAATTCTATCCCTTTTTGATTGTTAATAAAAAATATCGACTTCTGAAACCAAAATTGGTGAAAATAATTTATGAATGGAGTAAAAGCATTAGGTAAGCTTTATCATTCATTGGATTTGACTACACACTTTAGAGTATGTATTAACTTGAAATAACGTATAATTTTTAGAGATTTTCTACATCAAATTCAAAAAGATATTGCATTGTATTAAGAATGAAATTTGATCATCAAAATCGATTGTTTCAAAAAAAGTTAATCAGTCTTTGCCTATTTGGCAGTGTTGTGTCGATTACGATTGAAATTTAAAACAGATATTCTCTTCGTAACAATAAAACACACAATGTAAGTAATCCTAATTACAAGTTATCATGAGATATGAATGCTTGAAATAACAACAAAAATTATTACTAACAATCAGGATTACAAGCAAAGATAATTTAAATTACATGATTACTAGCAATCATTCAAGTAAATAAAATAATAAATGAACGAATCAGTGGATCAAAGTAGAGGTGAATAAGTAAATCAGCAGGTCACAAGATTCACAAATTTATGAATCAACGATCAGTAAGTAGACGAAACAATGCACTAGGGTATCAATCATTAAACAAACCTAATCAATCAGCTAATCAATGATTGAGAGTGAATGAATCATGAAATCAATTAAAGGAAGTAAATAAAAGAGCTCGTAATTTATAAATAAATGGTCTGGTGTATTGATTCTCTAAATCATTAATTCAATCATTTATATTTATTCTTATTCTATGGTTTGAAAATTACTTGAATAGGGAAGAGTGGGGTGAATCTTGATACTAGGGTAAGACCGGATACCTCGATTTTGGCGAAATTAGTTTTGTTTTTTATCGAACGTACTCTGATCTACTAAAGGATCTACTAAATTGACTTGTTGCTGTTGATTAATTCACTGCGTTTGTGTAGAGAAGTTAGTTTTACTATGTCAACTCTCGAATGTTCTCTTGTTTTTTAGCTATTCCTATTAATTGGTCATTACAATTATTAAAATTATTGTTAGTTCAGTTTATTATAAGTTTACTAAGCATTCATATTCTAACAAACAAAAAGGATTTCGCCTTTTTTCGCCTTTTTGTTTTGTTTCGATAACCTCTACTCGTGGGGTAAAATCTGGTACTACGCGTTTTAATACTACTCGTTCTGGTACCACCACCCCATTTGATGTGAGTCTATGCTTGCCCCATGGAACTGCAGTGCTGAAAAAAAAAACTACATCCAAGGCTGAAAAAAGGTTTTACAGGCCCCAAGGTGAAATTTATTGCCGGACCCACCTCAAAGCACAAAAAACTTTATTTCATAATTTGAAGAATTTTTGTGGAAACTTAGTATGAAATTGTTGAATTTATATGGATATAAAGAAATTCTCTGCCATTTTCTTTTGAAAAAATATTAATAAACACATTTTGCAAAGAATTTTGTTCACGCTTCAACCGTCCCAGACCCCGGGCAATTTTTCCTTTCTCTCCCATTTCTTCCCTTGAGTTCAGCCTTGACTATATCATATGTAAAGAACAACTATAATTTTCTTAAATTATCGTATAAATAGCAATGTCTACTACTTTTTCACTGAAATTCTAATATTTCTAAATTTCTCATAGAGTTAACGTATCCGGTTTCATCCCACTTGTGGGATGGATTTTTGTTTAAAAAAAATCATTTATAAAAATATAGTGCAACTATGACTTTTCGAGAAAGATCATATACAATAAAGCAATGAATATCTCAGTTAAATCAGACAGTTTCTGAGTCGAACAGTTTAGCTCCAACAGGCCTTCGATACCTTTCACTAATTCATTTTCTGATTAGTTGAAAATTTTTAATTCTCTATTTTTTGATTTCCTGATACAATTTCTCTTTTTTAATTTTACTCTTTGACCTTCAATAGTTCATTGATTCAGTAATGAATTAATGGACTGATTTATTGTTTCGGTGATTTTCCGATTTTGAGTCATTGATTTTTTCTTCAATCATTCATTTGTAAACATGCAGCCTTTTTTTAAGTTCGATTTCAATTTTTTTCAAAATTTAAAATTTTTAATTTATTGTTAGGAAAAACTTTTGGCGTTTGATTTGCATTATAATTTATCTTATTATTCTCTTTGTTTAAAAAAAATACATTACAAATTATGATTCTGAATAAAAAAGCACTTTGATAATTTATAGATTGAATAAAAATCAACACTTGATGGTTTATTAAGAGTTAAGGTACTAACTTGGTAAACACATTTCATGTATTCAATTCATCAGTAACCATCAATGCGATGTATGAAAACTTTCTAAATGCTTAGAAATATTACTTATCAATTGCACATATTCTAATATATATATATTAATATAGCTATGTTTATATATAATATGCCTTAATTTGGAACTGATTAATTCTTGTAGTAGCATTGTCATTTGTGTTTTCAAACTTCAGGTTTGGTAGGCTTATTTTACGAATTCATGAATATATATATATAGTCGTCTTGGAGAAATCTTCAGAGGAAGGCATTGGCTCACATTGGGCTGCGTGGCCAACTATGATGATGATGAATTATTTTTTTTCAAAATTGAAACTTAAATACTTAAATTTTAAGATTCAAATATATTTATTCAAAGAGTCTTCCAAATAAAATGAACTCGTAAAAATAATATCCTGCGGTTAAAGGAACAATAACGTTAACAGCAACGAATTCTAAATTCTATGGGTTACATTCATGTCCATAAATGAAGAATAATGCCAGCTCCGGCAAAAAAAGTTTTTTTCAAGAAAAAAAAAACAAAAAAAAAAATGAGACTCATTCATAAAGCCCATTTTTTAAACAAAAGGTAGAAAACAAAAAAGATAGTATATGTAGGATACCATTCATGAAACTACGTTTTATGCTCCCTGGAGCAATTATAAAAAATATCTACAGCTAAATTTGTCAAAAAATTTCGCGCAAGTCCACTGTGACGATGTCTACATTGCATGTTCTCGTCTCCATGCTAATCGCTGGAGACATCCTAATTGCCGTGACATACTAATCGCCGGCCATGCTAATTCCTTTTATACCCCGTCTTACTTGCTTGTCATTGTGGCGCACTATTGACGGCATCTGGTTTCTTCCTGTTTCTTGCATATTATTCTTGAAGATCTATATGAATATTCTATCAGATAAATCTTTACTTAGAGTATAATAGCCGCGTGATTCCGAATTATCCTTAATTTGTGGATATGAGTGTAAAATATATGCTAAAAATATTAGCTACTTATGCAATAAACGTTTCTATTTAAATAAAATTAACACTATCATACCTTTATTTTCACTTAATTTTAGAACCTCATATTACTTTATACCATAAATTTATTGTAAAAAAACTATTGACGTTGCGACTTTATATTTTTTTGACAATCCTCGATAGCACGTGTAAGAAACACCTCGATAGCACGTGATGTAAAGTAGTTACTTCCATTTTTCAAATTCAGTAAAATTTATACTTACGGTAAGATTAGGTACACATAAGAGTCAGAAAAGTTATTTCTACGATAAAGTAAAAATCAGTAACCCTTTCCTCATCATAAATTACCTATTAATTTGAATATTATACACTTTTAGTAACCACTTTATTTTATGGTAATTGCGACAACTGTGGGTTTAGTCTAGAAAACTCTTAGTGGCGAAACTCAAAGTGCTTTTTGAAACAAAAGTATTGTACGTGAATTTGGAATAATATTTTTCCATCTTAGTTGTTTTACCCTTTAAATTGCATATGAAAAGATCCGTAGCCAGGCCCGGTGTGTGTAAATGATTTTTTTGAAAGAGACACTTTTTGAAAAAGAATACCTGGTAATCCCGTAAACGGACCATGATGAGGTGTCATAGATGATGGATGGTCGGAATGAAGACGGGGTCTGGATGACATCATGCCACAGGACGGTCCTGATGGGGGTGCCGAAAATGATCTGGCCATGGGTGAATACCTATAGGCTTGTTGAGCTGCACAAGGATCCCCATAGGGCAATTGGCAAGTTGGTTGTAAATCCATAGTCTCAAAGGTGGCTTGATTAAGATAAGAATATTCCATAGCAGCGTGTAAACCCTCTTCTGTTCGGGGATATCCTGACATTCTGTGAAATGAACAAAAACTTGTCATACAATAGATAATCGAATTACATTCTTCCTTTTCAAATCAGGGAAAATGTCAGCCCTCTTACCCGACACGTGTGGTGGTCGCGCCTCTAATGGTCCGTGCACCCTCCATTAATGTTATTACAATCTTTCTGCATGGGGGAACTCCATTTAGATATTGTAAAGACATAATATTTGAAAATAAAATTATTAATTTCTTCCTTCCATTTAAATTTTATAAAAACAATAACAATTAAGAATTAATTAATTTATGATATTTAATGTTTAAGAGGCCTTAAGTTATTATAATACTATATTTAAATAAAATGAAGCATTAACTAATTTCTTTTCAAATGTGTGTAAATTCTTATATCGTTAAAGGTAAATATGAATTAATTTCTTATCTAATACGTGTTAATTTTTATGTATTAATTTCTTCCCACCCAACTTGATTTAAATTTTGTAAAAACAAATATACTTACATTGAAATATATAATTAATATTCAAGAAGATATTTAAAAAACTAAACATGTTTTAATTTTTTAAATCAATATATGTTCTTGCCTGAAGGTTTATTAAGATCTTTTGCGTACTTTATAATGTTTATGCGCAAAGAAAGTCTTTCTTGTTATGTTTAGAAAGAAAAAGAATCAAATATTGAAAAAAAATAGTTTAGAATAACGTGTCCTTCTTAGGTTCAAATATAGGACAAGTAGTAGGACAGTCTGTTTAGCAAGCATAATATTCCAAAAGTTTTTAAAAAACATAAACAACTATTTGAAAAACAGATGGAAACTGTTTTTTAAATAGATGTTTAGAAAAGTTTAAATAGGAAGTGATAATAAATGACAGAATACTATACTAAGTGCAGAATCGTTGTGTAAAAGATTTTTTTTATAGAATAGTATTCATGTATGTTCTAGCATACGAAACCATTATTTATGTAGTCCATCCATAAAATAAAAGCTTTTATGAAATATTTTTGCAATGATACGTGAAATACAGAATAGTCCAAAAATCAAAAATAAGGTAATCCGAAAATTTAAGGAAAAACGTTATTAGTAAAGTTTAATATTTAGTGCATATAACAGTTAACATTATTGTTTCCGGAAGTGTGATGAAGATTTTAATCAATGTCTATTCGAAAACAAAACGTAACTTCCGATGTCCTCAACAGATGTTTCAAATAGATCGCTTTAACTGGTATCCTCGTGAAGATGACAACGAAATGAAGTTGTACTAAAAGCACATTGGTGTTTTTTCCACTACACCAAGGATAGTAACTCCAAGAATGTTTTTTTATATTACTTGGTGTTAAGAGAACCATTTTTGTTTTTCAGTAAAAATAAAATTTATAATAACAGTAACATATGATAAAGTCAGTAAAGGTATTTTTGCGATACAATAAAGAGCGAGGAAAGAGATGTATACCCACTCTGATTCTTCAATTAAATTTACTTCGTAAATCAGAAAAAATATTATAAGAAATTCGAATTAAGCTTAACAGTACAGATTGAAATTATACATTATAAAATCACTTAATACTGTTCTGAGAGATTTAAAAGTTAAAATATAATTATCCTTATTACATTTAATTATTTTTGCTTCCGAAAACATCAACGTTGACTGATATTGGATATCGACAGTAGTTTATTTACATCGAGCAAGAATTGGCGTAAATTGTTTTTTTTTTTTTTCTTCGCCTTTATAAAATTTGTATTTAAATATTTCGCAGTTAAAATATGCATGCTTCGTTTTAATTGTGAAGAAGGATAATTATATTTTAATTTTTAAACAACCGAGAACTGTATTAATTAATTTTATAATATTTATTTTCTATCCTCTCTGACTTTACTAAGCCTAGTTTAAATTCATATTAATGGTCTCTTTGTAACGCGTATGTTTGATTAACAAACTATTTTTATTTTAAGAAATATTATATATATTCACATCCTAAATTTAAGATTCTTACTTTGAATTGTAGCGTAAAAATAATTTAATTGACGCTAGCGAGTATCATATCTTACTATTATTATAAATTTTAGTGTTTCTGAATAACAAACATGTTGGGGGGAACTTAAGTGTTTCACAAAGACGGTCCGTGCCAATTTTTAAGTGTAAACAAAACTATTTTTCGCGCCCCTCCCTCCATTAAGGACAATAATAAAATATATGTACGGGGTAAAATAAAATTTATTCATAATTTTAAAAATAGGCCAAAGTCTTCAAATTTTATTATTTACTTATTTTTTTATGTAAAAATGCTGTGCAAACTACTTATATAATGTACTTTTATTTAAATTCGATAGCGCGAAAAAAATATCTTATCCTAAGCAATTTCAGAAAAGCAATCAAAATATTAGATATCAATATTATATTTACATTTCTATCTACTTATCATTTATGCCTAGTATTCTCAAATGAAAAGAAAGTATTGTTTGCATACAATTATAAATCTTGTTTTTTTATATTTAGAAGTTATTTTATTTGATAATGATAAAAAATTGAATAAATAGTTGTAACATTTTGTTTTGTTTCATATTTTAACATGCCAAAATACAAAACAAGTACGAAATACTGCAAAAAATTGCTCAAATGTATGTTTTTTCATGGATTATTTCGCAAAGCGAGATCTAGAATAATCGTGCAAAATTTAATAAATAAGGGTAAGAACACTTCAGTCACCCATCATAATTGCCCGACTTTACACCATCAAATTTCCATACATTCTGAGCTCTATAACATTTCCAAAATGCCTGTTACTGATATTTTTCTTATAAACACAAATGATTTTAAACAATCCGTCATTTAAATTTTGTAGACTAGATAGCGAAAGATTTCTGATACCCTCATCATTTACATCATTGATTACCTCATCATTCTGATAACATCATCATTTACATCATTGATAAAAATAAAGTAGCTAAAGCATATTATGCAATTTAATGTAACAAAAGCAAATTAATTTCTAGTTCATCTAATAAAATTACTAAAAAGGATTGATCACTAAAACTGAATGAATCGTTATGACTTAAAAATAAAAATTATGAGAAAAATGTCTTGTGGTGTCTTTAAAAAAATTTTAGAATTTTTATAGGTTATTAGAAAAAAAGCTAAATGCAGTAATATTATTAAAATGCAGTAATAATTTTCAATTTGAAAATATTTAAGAAATTTTAAAATTATTACTATTTATAGGTAAGTAATAAGAAAGTGAAAATAAATTAACTAAAATATAAGTGTAATCTCTAAATTTTAAAATGGGAAAAATAAAAAAATAAGAAACAATATTTAGAACTTCTTTTTAAAAAAAGAATCATATATTTAAGATTATAATTTATAGATAGGTGAGGTAACAAACAATATTATAGTTTTTAATTTTATTCAAATTTAACATAATTATAAGTTTAATATTGAAAAAATTATAAACAAGGAAAATTAAGTCACAAAAATATAGAATTATGACATCTGAGAAATCAACATTAAATCAATATATTCTATATTACTTTTATATTTTATTATTACTTTTATTATTATTTAAATTATTTTTATATTTAATTGGAAATTTATATTATTTTTTAAGGTCTGCTTTAAAAAGTCTCGCGGATAAAATTACAAAATTACAGAATAATTAATTAATGATTTTAATTAAAATTGGAAATATTTCAAATTACACAAAAATGAAAGAAAACGTAATAGAATGGAGAACAAAAGAAATAATTCAATAACTAATTAAAATAATGAATACTAATCAAATATTATTTCATGCTAATTAAAAGGAAAACTATTTTATGCTTTTGAAATCTTTTTAAACTGAAATAAAGCATTGTTAACAAATCCTATACTGATAAAATAAAAGAAAAAAATATAATTATGAAACTTTTAAATTAATACTACATTTTAAAAAGTTAAAATTTATAAAACTATCATTTAACTGAAGGAAAGTAATAAATTGTGTATTTACTCTTAGAAAGAAGAATAAAGTAATTTGTATCTAAAATTACAGATATATTTTTACAATTCGAAAAATTGATAAAAATTTTAGATGGATGCTTTCTTTCAAAACACTACGCAGCTTAAAATTCAAGGAGTGTCTATTATACCCTTCCTGCAGCACAGCAATTGTTAATTTTTCTGACAAATCAGACCTGTCGCTTATTTGTTTTCATTAGAAATTTTGTATTAAGTGTTTTTTTTTTAATAGACCAATGTCCAATGTTGCACCAATAATTGCAGCTTCCCATTTTTCTTTACAGAAAAAACGCCTACCCTCACAAAACAAAGTTTTTTTAGAGCGTTACTACACTCAAGTCACCCCCTTGAAGAAACATTAAAGGAAACTCAGAAGACCTCTATGAGTGGCCGTCATCTCTGAATCAGCAGATCGGGAATTATCAGGGCATGAGCCCTAGCAAAAAGTGTTAAGGCAAGGAATGTTGCATTGCTTCGCAGTTATTTTGTTAGATATATTTCAACATTTTATTTTATTTTAGTAAAATAACTTCATTTTATTTTTTATTTTTCAACAAGCAAGCAAAAAACTTTTCGGAAAACAAACCGTAAAAAGTTCAATTTATATTTTATCTTTTAAATTTATTATTATTATATATCTAGCCTTACTTGACTCCGGCGCCAGAGCCCGATTAACCTCTGAAAATAGGGGAAGCATAATAGGATTTTGGGACCCCCTAACTTGAGCAAAAGAAACTTTTGATATTTTTCGCCCATAAACAATACATTTTAAAGAGACAAGAACCATGTGAAAACCATTAGAACCTTAGAAAGGAATACAGAGATCCTATGCAATCATGTTGGTTGTTGGACCCTTCTTTGCGTGTTTTGTAGTAACAAAAACATGAGGGAGTAGCTAGCATATATGTTAACAAAATTTAAGTATTTCACTAAATTAAATTATAAAATTACTTGTTATACGAAAGGTTCTTTGCAAGATTAGTCTCTTTTTTTTATGCCAATTTGTTTACTAGCATCAAAACATTAA